GCTAAATTCTATGAACCCCATATGGTCTCCTCCTAATATCGTAGCTAAATGTATGGCTTGCCGTACGCGGAAAATATACGGCTTGCAGTTAGGAAACACTGAATGCGAGGTCGGACTCCAAATTTTACAGGAATTGAAAAAGTTTTGAAAAGCAAATTATGCCCTTCCTTCAATTATAAAATTGGAAGAAGAAGTCATTGTCTACTGAATGCTCAAAAAAATGCATATTGTTATTCATGTTTTCCATGTAATATAATCGACTTTTTAAGAGATTGAAAATCAATGAGAAAAGTGCCTGCTTCTTAAGTAGTCATTTTGTACAGAGTATAGGTTTTGCATGCAGCCGGAAAGAAACTCGTCGTAAAGCCAGCGTCCTGAGGTAACTCATTTATTATAGAATTATGTTGCACGACGATTAGTTTTACAACCCTACTTACTTAATCTTTTTGAAACGAAAACGCATGTCGGAATTTCGGTCGACATTACATGAGTTAGCTCACCTACTGTACTTCTTGTGCTCTGTTTTGAAGAATTTGACAAAATACGCTTATTAATACACCGAAAAAAGCAATCTCATTTATGGATTAGGGAAACTTCTATTCACACGAAAATGCTTTGGACTGCAGGGCAATAGGGAATATAGGTAGTCTGAACTTTATCGGGCTTATAAAGAGTAAAAGAAACAGAACTACAGTCTTCATATATGAAATGGATCGCTGTTGGTGTTGGATAATGTGAAGGAGGACTTACTAAAATGCGACAGTAGAATCGTGAATTTACAAGTAAAGAGGTGTCTCATCTCCGAGTGTTCTGTGACCCGCAATTAAACATTAAATTGAATGATGTTACTAGGAGACCGGATTACCAGGGTACTCTGTAGAAACGGATTTCCATTCGAGGGAACAACAAATTTCATAGTCGTTTCCGAAGGCCAACTGATATCTTATGTTGTTAACAGCATAAAATATTTTCATCTCCCTTTATATCACTAGATGGTTCAATTCATCGGTAACAAACAAAATTTCAGTGTATTTTGAGGGCGACAGATGTCGAAAAATGATGTCGATAACATTGGCTTTAACCAGAATGACTATAGTCATGTCCACAAAGGAAAAGTAAGAACGAGCATCGCGTTTGCGGTTCGTAAAGAATGGAATGTCTCCCATGCCACCTAAGATAAGTGTGGGTCGATTATAAATTTTCTTAATAGCTAGATTACTTCAATATTTCCAAAGAATGACCCTAGTCGGCGAAAATGCATCGTTTGGGATTGCTGTCACCCCCGCAAAATAAAAGTAGTCCCAGGAGGTACTACAGTCTATTTTTGAGCTAATGATATTGGAATTTAGAGTGAATAAAATATAAGTGTAATAATTCATGGACGCTGGACAAAAACGCGGCTGGATTACTGCATATGAAGGCAAAAGTGCAATACGACCTGCAGTTTTACATGTGGATTCCTGGATTAATAAAGCTTGAAGGAATACGCCCAGTGAATACACGGAGGACCCAGTTAGCACCTGATTATAGGGACCTGTACATCTCGCACACGATAAATGTGAATTTAAATTTTGTTAATCTACAGTAGTCCCTATGCAGCGCTGTCTTAAATTCATGAACATTATATTTAGCTAGAAGACTCTACAGTTGATTTATTCGACGAATAAAATTTGGCAAATAAGAAAAAATCAACTTTCGAAATAAACGTATTTTGGTTACAGTATTGGGATAAATGTTGTGACAAATTATAAATATTGCAAACTAACTAGTCTAGTTGCGGTAAATCGCGGCACGTTGTCCTGGGTTACCGCATAAATTAGTTGCGTTGTACGATATGCCTACTCAATCTCCTGACAAATCCTCATGCCAGTTCTAAGTGGAAATTTTACAATTACCGTTATTTTCCCATCGCATTCTGCGAGACCTATGTTTTTCATTAAATCACTGGCAAACATCGACAAGATTCAACAGAATTGCGCAGGTTCAATCTACCATTACATATTCTATTGTCGGTCACCGTCTGGGTTGAGAGTATTTCCAACCTTATCCTTCTTAATCTGGCCTGGCCCATCAAGTTGTTGTTTTGGATTGGATTAGGATAAAATTCAAATGCCTTTATTAGATGCACAAGAAGTATCACTATTTAAAGATTCTATTATAAATTATAATGCACTTTCAATACTATAAAAGATGCCCTTTAGCAATAATCGTAGTCTTATTGTCGTCGGGACGGATGAATCTCATGCAGGACATTACTTGAATAGCGCATACTTGGACATTATGCCACTATTTCATTCTCATACTGTTTCTTTCTCCCCATTGTCTGCAGTCAAGTGAGAATGAAATGGTGCCACATGAACGTGCGGACATAGGCACTTGGTTAACATGTAAACTTTCGGTAGTTGAGTGTGTGCCGTTTAGCCAATGTGTGTATGGTGCATTTGGACTTTAATTAGCCAATGGGAGCCGCGATTCGATCAGTCTCAAAAGCTCAATAACGTGATTCAGTTATAAATATTGCAGGCTAAATGACAGGCATTTAGTGCCAGGCTCTTCAGACTCAGGTGCGTCAGATATTGTGAACAAATACATGTTTTGAGTTTTTTACGGTTATTTTCCTAAAATGTTGGTAATTTACAGGCCAACGACTATTTCGAAGTATTAGCATCTCCATATTTGCGCAGGGAGTCATACAAGGGTCTTCATTAGAGTACTCCGACAACAGTGCCCTAAAGGTTTGACCGGTCTCGGTTACGAAAAGGTTTTACCAAAGGCCAGGGGTCATTAATGAAATTAACGAATTTCAATATTCTGATGACTTTATAATAAGAGGGGAAGGCGATATTCCGAGATGATAGTTTACTCATTTGACGTTTCACACTCGTGGATGATCTCATCGTCAGAGATAGAAAAGACGGAAAATGCAAAGTTTAAATGCGTATTCTTGGCTCGCTTGTGATTGGTCCCTTGGCCCATTCTCTCACTGACCATCTTTTTCCTACCCATATGGTGACTGAGGGCATTGCATGGTGCCGACAGACCGACTCTATGGTCGTTCAACTTTGCGCTGGATTTCCAGACATCGACGCTTCCCCTACCGTTCTGGTTTAGGCTCGTCCGGATACCTGTGCATTCCCCATAGCAAATGTTCGATTATTCTGAAGACTGTATGATCACACCGGGTCGCACACTTCTTTGTTTCACGGCCAAGACAGGCTTATGCATGCCTATTTCCAATTATTTCTTAGTCATGCCACAATATTCGACCAGACAGTCTAGACAGTTGACATTGTTGACGACTCGTGACATGTAGTCGGGCTTTAATAGACCTTTGGTTCGAGTCATCAAAGGACGGATAACGACATCAAACTTGTTCGTCCCTCGTCAGAGTTTGGCTCTTGCACTTTTTATTCAGCATGGTTTTCCTGAAGTCCGAGTTAAAGACTGTATGTGACTGGAATTACGCAGGATATATTTTTCGTAAAAATAGCCTTACCATTAATATGCAGTCAGTGGCCTATCAGTAAACGGGTCATTAAATTCTGACAAAGTCCTTGTAATGCACAGGTTGTCCATCATGCGTTCACGAAAATTACAATGCGTTATAGATCCGATCATTCTTCAAAAGAAGGTATATCTCGCTTGTAGATAATTATTAATTAGTTAAAAAATAATTAATTTTATCAAAAACCACCAAATCGAAGACCAACCGTATGACAGCTTCATTCTTTAAGGCCTAATATAATTGACAGCAGAAAAGGTTTTTGCAATACAACGAGAAATTACTGAAAACATACAACGAATAAGAAGCTTGCATATGCCCTTTTGAGTGCAAAACGGTTATAAGTTGGTTAGATATAGAAACTGTCAGCTTGCCTATTATGGACTGGTCTATGAAAGTGGTAAGCGCGAAATCCAGCTCTCCCTGCACCGAACAGCGTTTACTTGTATGCCCAGATTTCTTTTAATTGATGCGAAACAATTTCGTTTGGGCTGATGTACGAGCTATTAGCTGGAGTTAAAGTGTTTCGCAGGGCGAAGACAGAGAGGCTGACTACGGTCCAAAAAATTAGATTCTAGTCGCAAGTCAAGTCAGAACCACACTTCCTTTGAGCGTTTAACATGTGTATTTACGCGCAACTTCACGGTATCTACTCGACTTTGACAAACGCCGTCGTAACCGAAGACATCCTTTAAAATGCCGACGAACAGCTTGCTATTGCTAGTCTCCGTTGTCGATCACCGGATTGATCGTTTTCCGAATTTGATGGTCGTCGGAACCATCAAGTGTGGACAGTTCTTGAAAGATGCTGTCAACAGAGTGTGTTCCCGGGGAGGTTTTTTCCACGTACGGCCACCAGGCCTGTAAAATTACAGTAAAATCTAAGGTATTGCCTTTCCTTGTAGGTGAACTATCTCTCGAAATATTATATATGGAGGCAAATGGCACTGTCAAGTCATATTTTAAACCCGAATATTATGCAGGATACTGGGCATTAAATCTTCCAAAAACCACCTCCATGCCAAAAAACCGAGTAGCTGGGATTTCAACCATTAAAACGATCGCCTCTTGTGTCTTATACCGTTTACAAAATAGTCAAAACGCACATTCGTACAATTTATAATAAGCACCAGGTGACATAATAATGTGATTTATGTTTTTGGAAACTGTCCGGATATCAAGTTGCTATTTGGATAAACACGGTCAACGATATTCGGCTGTTCATCTAGGCTGGAGGCAGTATGTGGAAATATTTTGAAAGGCTCCTAGCTACTTACTATGGCTATAAGACCGGCAACAGCAATATTTATCTGTCATTAGCGGATTTCGTGAGAAGTCCAAGTGACCGACTGACGTGCGATCAAGTGTAGTACGGTTAATCATTCCGTTCTGAAATTAAACCATATCAGAATTCATTGTTAACTTTTCTGCTGGATTGCCACTGAAAAGGTCCCTTTTAATTTTTCTATTTCAATTTTAGGTTCTAAGTTGACCAACCATGAAGTAAGTGTATCGAAGTACCTAACATGTGATCTTTGACTGGTAAAAAGTTAAAATTGTCCGTAGAAATTATTCAGAAGGACGACACTGATAGCACGATCAGACCTGAAAGTAGCTCTTCTGTAATGCACTTATAAATTTAGAAAATATCCATTGAGATAAAAACTATTATGTTGCCACCTTAAAATGAACGAGGTGCCATTTACCCTGACTTTGAGGAACGTCCCATGCGAACTAATTTAGTATGTAGAAATTTGCATACTTCGTCAGAGGCTTACAAACAATTCTCAAAATTGCCTCAAAGGATATTAAGTACGTTTTTAGGGAATGTCGGACATGTATGAGCGGTAAACTAAGCCGTGATGTAAAAATAATCGAACAAAATAAGCGTCTGAGTAACTGGTTCTGCTGTTTTCAGAGAAAATTAACGTCTTTCTTTCTAATAGCTGCCTAGAGAACCTAGAAAAGTTGACGTGGGAGACATTCAAGGAGATGGATTCTGACAACTCCGGAACGATAAGCTTCGATGAATTTAAGGCTGTTATGCAAAAGAAGTCTCAATCTGGCAAAGTTGACGAAGCCAACCTTCGAGCTCTCTTTGACAGCCTCGACGCTGATAAGAGCGGTGACCTGAGTCTTGAGGAGCTGAAAAAAATGTTTAAAAACTAGATCAACCTTTTTAAATGAACCATCCACCTCCAAGTACTCCTTCTGCCCCTGCATATAAAAAGGCATTTCGCTAAAATACTTCTTACTTTGTCGACTGTGATATAGCGGGCTCTGGGCTCAATGGTTTTCAGCAAAGAACGTTTCGGGTTACGGGAGAAAAGACAGCACGGATTTCAATGTCCTTGTAGTCTTATGGTCCCACACAAATCCTCAATGCCCCTACCATCACCACAACCATCACCACTATCAATGAGAATGCTCCGCCCGAAAAAGTGTGGTATTTAAATGACATGGTAACTTTGCCTCGGCCTGCTTGAAAGTCGCCGTTTTTTGCACCACCACCGATGGTGTAGGGATTGCGACCGCCTGACTCATCGCATGTCATATCCTTGTTTCTGGAGGTCGGCTGGGAGGCTGAGGATTCGTCAGTTTCAGAAGGGAATGCTCCGACAACAACAGGCCGCAGAATTCATGGTTGTCGCACACTGCAAGGCTTTGCACTCATTGAACTTTTTGGCGCGGTCTTGCAGTGTGTTGTCATTTTCGGTGCGGGACAAGTAAACTTTGTGTCTCTCCAACGCAGATTGTTTGATCATAAAAACAGAAAATTTAGTAAGCCCCCTTTGACTGCCATGCCTTGGAAGTGGGTTCTTACTTTTTCTGAGTTGACCTCGTGGAGTCTAAAAAGCATTTGCTATACATGGAAATCCTGACCAGGCCCTGGGTTCTTCGCGCTCAAGCAGCTGTCTTAAGCTTTTGCGCGCATTGTCTCGAAAAGTCACCTCGGTTGCATTTTCCTCTAAGTGTTAGTGGATGATGATGATGCAGATCAAAGCGTTGCTTTCTAATCTCCTGCAGCGCTTGGCAGTTCATCGTTGAGAATTGAATTCGCTTTCAGTGTTTTCATTTGAGTAACAATATCACAACACTGGAACTGTGGACTACAGACCTGCAATCCGCTTGTCTTGTAGCACTTGGATAGTGATATGTTGGCCAAGACTTAGCCGCAAGACACCCAGAGTACCATGAACAGAATGGATTGAGGCTTCGAGCATGGAGTACCTAAAATTTTGGGACGTTCTTTCGAACCGAAAATATAGAAAATATAATTTTCATTTGGGACATCCCCTACAATATAGTTTACTTTCAGCAACAGCAATATTCATGGAGCCCACCGTCCAGTTGAGCAGTCTGCAGCCTGGAGGGGAGTAAAGGGGAGGGGAAACAGGAATAAACAAGAATGATGCACCGTCTGGGAAACGACTCTACGTTTCTGAAGTTTGTTTGAACTGAGATCTGCGTTTGAAGAAAAGACTGTACTTAAGTCGCAACCTTCTATCGAGCTATAAAGATTGTTTATGGGGTCAGGTAGTATACTGAATCCAAGGGTTTTTGTGGACGAAAGTACTCACATTAGAATTAGTATAGGATGTGTTTTCTGTCGAGTATAATTGGCACGGAACTTAGGAATGTCATGGTAGGAGACAGGCAGTTCGTTTAACTGGCGAGCGGCTCAGAAAGCCCTATTTTAGAAGAAAGCCGTTCCACAATGCCCATCTTGGCACCCGACCTACATCTATGGCTTTTCACAGTGACTACTCACTGCCAACCACTTCGATTGGCGTCTGGATTGGAGGGGGTAACCACCAGACCTTTCTCAACCCCGTGGCATCCTACTTTACATTATGTTTACAAAACTGTCGTTCTGGCAGCGCGACTCAATGACGAGAGTACCTGAAAAATTTATCAACATTAAATAAGAAGGCTCCGTAATCTCCACTGAAGCTACCTTTCGAAGAGACTCAGGAACAGTGGCCATAACGGATACCTGACACCCGGGTTCTTATATCGACCGATAAGTTTGAAATTTTTCAGTGTTGAAGCATGCTCAATATCGGGCAAGCGGTCACGTCGTGAGAATGTCGGGTGGCTGCTCACCGAAACGACTGCTTAACAGCGACGTTGATACAGCTTCACAACGACTAGGACGACAGGAAAAACAGTACAAGGACATAAAAAATTTCACCAAAATATCTCGGGATTGGATAAGTGCCCCAAGATATCCTCAAAAGGCATCCCCAGGCCTACGAACCGTCTTACCAAATGGTACAGTAATTCTTGATGTCAAATGAATACACATCGAGACAGACGTTGAGAACGCAAAACTGAAATGCCAAAGGCAAACTTTATCTGAGACAAACCTTTTTTCCACGCGTCTACATTGGGAGAGCACACACCGTTCCTTGGAACTTAGTTGATCTTTGATTTTCATAAATCTGCTGCGCATGACAGTTTTAGGCCATTGGACAGTTTCAACAGCTAGTCCCGAAGCAACGCGATCAGTCGCTTCTGAGACGTCCTCAGTGTATGACAGATCGTGCCATATCCTTGTTGGTGTTTCTGTCTGGTTCCTCCGGGGCCAAGCACATAAGCAACGTCTAATAAACACCTTCCAAGAGTCATTCCGCATAAATTGGTCGCAGAGATAGGGAGCCTTGCGTCCGTTTTCCTCCGCCTTTCCCCAATGGGCCTGGATCCGGTTGAAGAACGTTCTCACGCAGTTTCGCTCGAGGGCCACCGGATAGTTGCTGTGCAAACTAAGGAGTTTTGTTGTGCTCTTTTTCTTCCGTTGTGTCAAATTCACCGTTAGGATTTCGCCTGATGAGCACGTCAAGGGGAGGCAGTCGCTACTTCTGTTCCTCTCCCCTCATGATTAATATATTGCGGAAGATTGAGTTGAGCAGATTATGGAAGCTTTTCAGTATGCTTTTCCTAGGGATGACAAACGTGTCGTCAACGTAACGGTGTCAAAGGACTGTTTCATGTTGGATGACGGCCGTTACTTCTAGCTCCCCATCGTATGCCTCTTCAATTCTCTTGCGCATAATCTCAATGTAAGTGAATAAATGGAACGCAGATTACGACGGTATATCATAAACGACGCAAAAATAATACGACAGTGCGACCGCTAACATAACGGAGACGACAACCATCCTTTCAAATTAGCGTTTTTCGGAAATTTTATTTTGTGAATCTCGTGGACCTCTAACATGCCTGTGCGCGAAGTTCCAATTGTAGAACAGATTAGCTATAAAGTTAGCATGGCGATCAAGCAGATAAAACACGAGAGTGACTTACAAATAAGACGAACAGAGCTGCTTATATCCAACCAACTGGGATTGTTAAACACAACCGGAGGGTGACTTCCACCCATCTATCCTGATTGCAGGTTGGGTTCTGGTTTGGAGTTCCAGTTCAGATTTCAAGTTTGCAAGTATTAAACGGCATGTTTAAGGGCTTCTTATCAAATAAAACATGGCAGGGATGTCTTCTCCACCACCTTACACATCAGCGGGTCGGTTAATGTACGACAAGCGATTGTACCCAACAGAAGCAGGGATCTAGTCGTCGTTGCTTCTTATGCCGACGTGGGGGCTAAAGGAGACATTGCAAGGGGAGGCGTTTCTATTAGGACAGAGACCCATAGTCATCTAAAAATAAATGCTTCCCAAAATTTACCTGCGTCTTTTCACCGGATCTTAGTCGCACTGCACGGCCCTTAGATTTCCAGTAACATAAGATACGATTTCAAACAATGCCCTGCAAAATAGAGCCTCGAAAACCCCTGCTCAGCAGCCTGAAAGTAAGAGTTTCGGACAAAGACTGACAAAATTACTCGCAAATGGTCAAGAAGCGGTAATAATTTTATCACAATTCTTGGAAGACCATGGAGCTGCCGACTTAATATACACTCAAACCCCACCCTTGAATGGAGACTTCCTGTGATTGTGTATGCGAAGTATCCGGCTTGGGCACGGAAATCTGAACTAGCCTGTACTGCAGGTGGTCCTTCTCAAAATTCCAAGGGGACTAGAGTTGGTGCTAGCGTTAGAGCCAGTAAGGTTAGGACTAAGGCCATGGTTAGATTTGGGATAAGGAGAGTTACAGTTAGGGTTAGGTGTATGAGGGTTAGTATTAGGGTCAGGGTTAAGTTAATTGTTAGGGTTAGGGTTGAATTTAAGACAGAGGAAGAGGTACCCTCTTGGAAGTTGAAGTGAGACCACCTGTAGTACTGGAGGTATCCATATTTCCGTGTCCAACCGTTTTTCGGAGATGGGGGTTGGGTTAGTAGGGTTGACTGCTATACTCCACGGGAAAACTGATTCATCAGGGCATGGACGAGAAAAGAATCGACCCCAGTTACCAGAGCATCGCCACGTACTTATCGAAGGTAGGTCAGAGTAGTCACGGACGTGCACTTTATTTCGAACAACAGTTCACGTTGAGAGTTATTTTCGGCTTTCTAACTTCCTCAGAAATTAATGCGTTGCGCCCTGCAGCTAATCCTTCTAGACAAACCTTTTCAGGCCCGGACCAACCGTTGATCTGTGAACTATTTGAATTTTCCAGTCTTATAAACTTCTCTGAAGACTGAGGCCTAACTGACTGTTTGTAACTGGAGTGACAGGATATGGCAAACAAAACCCGCAGACCTCATATAATGAACAAAAGGACCACTTCTAACTTAAGAACTAGGAATAAATAACGGATATAAATAAACATAGCAAAATTAGGGACTAAGACCTTCGTCCTCAAAGCAAATTATTTATTTCGCGCATATCATAGGTTTCCATGGGGTTTTAAAAAGTATGTTCGTTGTCATTGTGTTGACCAGGACAGATCCCCCTAAGGCACGATTAATGTGCCCAGTTTTCTCCTCTTCCAGTCTTAATTATGATACCATAGTCTACTGGTTAAAGCACGGAACTGCGGATGGAAAGTTACGAGATCACAAGGATGCTCGTTCTGGGACCGGGCACAGCCACTGATGGTAACGGAGTAACCGCAAGCAGTCACCCCAGTAATCTCGATCGTCTCCCTACACTTATTATCAGATGGGGCGCTTCTGGTCCACATGAAATAACTACTGTAAGACAAGAGTGAACTATCTCCTGCAGTAAACAATAAAGAATTTCAACCACTTAGGCTATCCATTGGTG